TGAGTTTTAGTGGGGTTCCTCAGTTGTCAGAATGAAAAAGTCTGAAAAACATCTCAAAAGACCAACTTTAGGTCCTACAACAGTGATGTTATCTATAGGAGCAATTAGGGAAGTCACAAATCTTGTGACCTCTGGCCACATGACTCCTGTGCAGTAAGGGATTATAGTAACTAAGCCTACATTTTAGCAGGATTCAGGTTCCTTCCATAATCCTAATCTTGTGGCCTTTTGTAGGTCTTACAAAGATGGTTTCAGCCCTGAACAAGGCGGGGATCAATTTTAGGAAGGGACTATTATCCTTGCTTCAATGTTAAACTATAAATTAAATTTCTCCCATGGTTAGCTTGGCCCATGCCCAGGAATGAGCTAAAATGGCCCACCTGCCAGGTTATAAGCAAGATGGAGTCAGTCGTGCTGAACTTCTCTTGCTTTTATAATCTTTGCAAAGGCAGTTTCACTCCAGTCATATTTTGGGGTGGCATGTCCTGAATTCCATCAATGTGATAATGTTTATTTTCTTTTAATACAAATTTAATGTATGATAAAATTACATAATATCACAAGTTAAAAAGGCCACCTTGTTCTTTTTGAAATTATTTGTGTTCATGAAAATTAATTAGTTATGGTTACTGGATATATATGCTTATAATAAATGTCTGAGTTTTTAAAAAGCATAAGACATGTTTTGTAAAAGAGATGTAAAAAGTACACAAGGTATTATTGGTGCTAATGGAATAAAAGAAATACCTAAAGAGTAACTTCTCAGTGAATTTGATAGGGCAATAACAATTTATACAGAAGTTTCTTACTTAGCCAAATGAGATAAATGTGCATGTGCATGTTTCAAAATGACAAAACCCCTCTCTCAAATGTTAGCTAATTAAGACTTATTTTTATCTACTGAAACTTCAGTTGCATTTCAACTAAAAACCATTTTGAAATACTGAAGATAAAATTTGAAGATTGAAAAGTGGCTGGCTACTGATGACTAAAATGTGGTGATTACATCTAAAATAGCATTCCGTTCTACAGGAACGCGTGTGTGCATATCTTTAATGTCAGCACTTGCCTCTGGGATGACACTTATTAGATTTAATGGTGTCATGTGCTATTTCAAGATTGGCATAGTGGATTTTATAACACAATGTGCTAATATTCCACTTATTATTTAAAGTGTTAAAAGAAAAACTATAGACAAATTAAATTTAGCAGAGTTTAATTGAGCAAAGAACAATACAAGAATTTGACAGCCTCTGGAACCAGGAAAGGTTTAAGAAGACTCCAGGGCTCTCACGTACCTGAATAACATTTATAGACACAAAAAGGAAAGTGACATACAGCAAGCAGAAATGAGGTACAGAGATAGCCTGATTGGTTAACACTCCCGGTTTGTCCTATTTGAACTTGGTTTGAACCATTGGCCGCCTGTGGTTGACTTAAGTTCAGTTGCTGTGACTGGTTTAGACTCCTCTACTTGTTATACAGTAAGTAACAGTCTGTGTACACATCAAGTTAGGTTACAGGTTACTATGTATGCAGAAACTTTTAGGCCAAATTTAAGATAGGTAGGAAGGTAGCTTTAGGCTAAAGTTAATTCAGTTTAATTAAAGTGAGTTGTTAAAGCTCAGGTCTTACTGTTTTGCTCACATCCATATGTACCATGATCACTCGGTTCTGCTTTAGTTTTAAAATACAAAATTCTGAAATATGGTGCAATGAATTAGTACAGTTACTTATTTAACTTAGAAGTCATGTCTGTGAAAAATAATTATTTGCATGTATATTGGGAATTCCCAGGTGTCTGGGAATGACTTGCCTCAGAAAATTGCTGATAAATAATAGGACACAATCTTATAGGGAATTTGTTGTGCTAGTATATGGTATAACTATCCTACACTTCTCTGCTCAAAAGAAAAACAGAGGAGGCCCAAAGAGACATCCCAGGCCAACTGGTGCTTTAAAGAAATCTCTCAGTAAAATTCTTTCTTAGGCTGCAGCTTTTTTACAGTCACAGAAAGATAAAATATGGATGAATAATCTATCTGCTTTAATCTATGTGTCTATCTGCATCTATCAAGTGGCCTAAAGGGGAAGGAGACTGGCTGGGTTTTCTGCCTTCACATAGGGAATACACTGTTATACAGCATACCTGAATCAAGGTAGACTTAGAGTTATGGGGTCACTACAGATAAATTAGAAAAAATTATGGTAGGATAATCTAGGAACAGTCCAATAAATTCTAAAAACATTACATAGTATATATGCTGCCGAAGCGAGCACAATATAAACATTACATAAAAGTCAATGATAAAGAAAATTTAAAATATCTAGAAGGTTTATGTGTCTCTATTAGCCTTCCAACCTGTATGCCCACTTCCATCCCAACACACATACCCTGCACAATTACAATCATATTGATATCGATGTCCTCTGCAACCGTCACCCCACTATACTCATTTTCTCCTAAATTCTACATTTCTTGGTTTATCTATAACGCCTTGGACCCTCACATAATTTATTTATTTTTAATTTGGGAAAGACTGATTTGCCTTTAAATCAGATAATTTATAATTAAAATAATTGTTATCAAGGTGTTTTGGTACTGTCATTCAATAAACGAGCGAGTATGCATTTCATTTTGTCTTATTTTGCATTTTAAGATATTAAGTGTATCTGTTGGGAGCCTATCAACTTCTGGTCATTTTGTCACTCTGTTCTTCCCGCAACTCTCCAAGCTGTTTCACTTGTTAGAGGGCATTGGTTTAGTTGTGCCTGTGCAGAGAGGTTTTTGTTTGTTTGGTATTTGGGTTTGTTTTGTTTTTGTTTTTGTTTTTTTGGTGTAAGACTTTCTTAACTTGTGGGCTTCTTTTGTAGTAAGTTTCTTAATTTCAAAAATAGTGATAATCACCTGGTCCTATGATATGTTAAAACAAAGTATTGTTTAATTTTAAATGTCACTGAGAATGTTAGATTTGTTAGGAACCTATGAAATGTATATTTTGGAGGTATAAATGGAGATAGCACAGTTAATCTCACCCCCCATCTTTTAATATATATTATCTGTTAAACATTAACTTGTATCACCAAGGAAAGGGTTACTTGCAAAGAGAAGAGAAACTCTGCTTTAAGGGAAATGATATAGCCAGATGCCTAAAGAAGATGACCAACTATTCTGTGATTTTAATTGAATACAGCATATCATTCTCAAAAGTTATTGCCAAAGGACTTGATATACTAAAAATGAGAATTAGTCAGGGAAAAAATAAAAGACAAAATTTTGTCCTCAAAGTGACATTCTCCATGTAGAATCAACTTAATCCAATCTATCACTGGTTCCTCAATTAACTATAGCATGTCTTAACTTCATATTTTGGCTCACACTATGTCTTTTGATGTTATGTGTTGTTGGAAAACTTGTAACTGATGCATGAGTGTGCTCTCTGTTCAAACTGTTTCTAATATATAATTTCCTTGTCCAGTGTTCTTTCAATAAGGGTACCTAGTCCTTTGAGGATATCTTGCTAGAATGATGCAAATGAAGATGTGGACTATTTAATTATTTGTTAAAATATATTATATTGCAACACCCTAGTTATCACAGTTGCTGTAATTAAGAGGACAATGTGATTATTATTTTTTGGCAAAGTGAAATATTTAGTTTAAACAAGCAATGGGAAGTAATGGATAATCTAACAGGAATAATCCTCTACTGAGATATCCTTTTGTGGGGGATATTTGGAAAGGTTAAGACCTGGAAAACCTAATTTAAGAATCTTCCTGGTCACCCTTACCCGACCCACCAACTGCAAAGTATTTTCTCCCCCAATAAATAAACATTAATCAACATACATTTATTTAAATATGATTTTCTATCTCTATGTATTTCTTTTTTATTTGAGATGGAGTCTTGCTCTGTCACCAGGCTGGAGTGCAGTGGCATGATCTTGGCTCACTGCAACCTCCATCTCCTGGGTTCAAGTGATTCTCCTGCCTCAGCCTCCTGAGTAGCGGGGACTACAGGTGTGCACTACCACACCCAGCTAAATTTTGTAATTTTAGTGGAGATGGGGTTTCACCATGTTGGCCCCGATGGTCTCGATCTCTTGACCTTGTGATCTACCCACCTCAGCCTCCCAAAGTGCTTGGATTACAGGCATGAGCCACCACGCCCGGCAATTAATGTATTTCACTATACTGCTCCCCTACACACACAAACAAATGCTCTTAAGAAAATAAAACATGAGAAAATGCATATCACTCTAAACTATATATATATATATCTCAGAAGGCACAAGCAAAAGAATTGGATTGTCCCCATTAGGTAGTCCAAACACACTGGAACCTCCTGACAATGAACTGGGGTGTGAAAGATCCATGTGCTAAAAAAATGACACTAACCAACTACCCTCGGTAAGAAGCGAGGAGAAAGAATCTGAAATTGCCCAGCTTCTGTATGTTCCATTTGAACTTAAGCAGTGCATTTGCTTTTCAACTCTAAAGCTTCAATTTCAGTCTCCAGGGTGCTTACTTCCCCTGTTTTGTGAACCTTTCCTTGTAGACACCTGTTGGGGACTGTATTATAAGACACACTGTAGAAATGCATTTTCCAAGCCTAGAAGGTGAAAGCTACTCTTTTCTAGGGCTCTTGTTAATCTTTGGGAGCCCAGCATCTTCTGTGGCAGAACAAAGACGATACAGGTGTAAATTCTTATTTTTTTTTCCCCCACTCCCACAAAGAAAATGTTGTTGACGTGTCAGTGTTCAGCTACATTTCTCTTAAGATAAACAATAGAATATTTCTTCCTTCTATCCTGAGGTTTTAGAACTGGATTCCCATTGCTTTCTAGCATCATTCTAAATAGAACCCCACTGTTTGGCCACGGCCAGAATTAGCTCGAATGGTACCTGTTATTGAAAGGGAGTCTGTATTTGCAGTAATACAGAGAATGCCAGTTTAGAAATGAGCCTGATTGCATGGTTCATTTTGTTCTCCTTTGTAGAGCCAGGCTGCGGCCCACTACAAAGGCACGAAACATGCCAAGAAGCTCAAAGCACTGGAAGCCATGAAAAATAAGCAGAAATCTGTAACTGCCAAGGACAGCGCAAAGACTACCTTCACCTCCATCACTACCAATACCATCAATACCAGCTCTGACAAAACAGGTTAAGCAATGATCTTTGTTGTTGTTGTCCTCCTTGTCGTCACTGGGGGTTCCCTCCCTTGTCTAGCCCCACGTCTGTTTACTTATGTGCCTGCCACATTGATTCATGCTTGAGCCATCTTTCTGTATAATGGTAATTGTTTCCTCTCATTTTTCCAAACCCCTATAAGATTAAGATAATCACTAATTATATTCCAGATTTTGCATTTTGCAAGAGTCCTGTGGCTGTTTCAGAGGAATAGTCATAAAAGGCATTTGAAACCATGTACCCCATAACTCTTTTTGAGAAATGAACCTTTTCAGTGTGCAGTATTTGCATCTTGTATGCAGCACCTTAGCTTATAACTGCATGGCAGATTTGATTTAACTGTGAGTACACAACAAAGTATGCTAAATGAATCGAGAAGGCCCCAATAAGGGCATTATCACAGACAGGCTTTATTCTCATAAATTCCAAATACTGCATTGTTTTAAGTAGTGGCTGTGTGATACTGGGCTTGTTATGGCTGGGTAACCTTCCCTCTGCAAACACAGGTAAGTGTTATTGATACCAATTACTCTTTTTAACAGAGTCTTCACGGTGAAATGATGGCCTCTGAATGGCCCCTTGGGATAGCTCCTGCCAACGACCAGCTTATTCATAATAGGGGAAGCTAGTGAGGTTTCCCTAAGCTGACATTTTAAATATAAGACCACTGGTTTTCAAAATCTACAGAGAAAATATTCCTGTGTGATTCATGGATATACCCCTAATAAATCACTTTCTAGAACACAGAAACTGTTACACATCAATTGTTTTCCAGTCCATGTGAATGGCAATGGTGAGAAAACATTCATATCATCACCAATGGTAGTGTCTTAACTAAAAGAGAATCTTCTGGGTATGACTGATGAAAATAGAAAATAAACAGTGAACGAATAGGATAGATTACAACAACCTTATTACACAGTGTAACATCTACCGGACACGTATCGGCTGTTCCAAGGATTGGGAATGCTGCAAGTGAATCTGTAAAGGATAATGATGTTCTGAGTTCCTATGGCATTTTGTATTTTCTTTACCCAGGTATTAACTGGTAGATGTATCATGCTACCCTCCCTAAGAACCCTGTGTCCTCCCTCAGCCTGAACACATGTCTCATCTTTGTATGCTGCCACCTGGTCTGGCATGGGGTAAATGCTGAGCAAAATGTCTGTTGAATGACTGAGGCTTATTTCACACCTTTGGTTTGGTTCTCTGATATAGCCAAGTTTGTGCCACCACATACTAAAGAGGAAAAAAAGACAGGCTTGTCATACTCACTTCTTTGTTATGCAGAGCAAGAACTGGATTGTGCCATTGTGTTAATTTAGATGTAAAACCTTTTAGGGAAAGCACTAGTCTTTTCTCTAATAATCTAAGACTAACGGCTTTATTTTGAGGACTGAAAGAGAATGAGTGGGGGATCACCAAAGCAGCATCTGGCATTGAGAAGTGCAGAAAAATCCTGAAGCCTTTGGATGCAAAGAAGGTAGTAGGTAGGAAGAACAAAGAGATGAGTTTGATGTAAAGGGTTAAAGTGACATTTTTCCTTGCTCCCAGTTTTTTCTACTTTTAGACTTTTGTAATCAAGAATTCATGTTTGGGTTATCTTGACTTTTTTAAAATATGAAAATATTTGTTTCATTAAGGATGCACATCATTTAAAAATATATGTCTGGTAGGTAGAGCTGCTAACTTGGGTTAAGAAAAGCCCCCAAGTGTGTTGTCTCTGTTAAGTAAATGAGTTGTGACCACATACCTTCATCTCTTAACTTAGAGACTAGAATGTGTCAACCTAGAATAATCCAAAGGGTCAGAATCTAGTTTAAAGAAAGTTTATGCAAGTGCAAAGTTGGAGGGTGGCTGCCCAGAAAACACAGATTCCAAAGAATGGAAGTCAGTATTCCAAAGTGTAGAAGTTTAGTATCATTTTTATCGGCAAAGTGTAGGGAAGTTTAACAGAATTTCAACACCTCTTTCTACATAAGACTTAACGCTTAGTTAACAATAATCTGACATTGGTTGGGGTGATCTTATTCTTTTGGGAAAGGTATATTTAACATTTTATACTGAGGATGTAACTCTTATGGGGTCTTATGCACCAGCTAGTCTTACGTAGAGGACAATACAGGATGCAGTTAATCTATAACAAATATCAGTAATTGGAAGGGAGAGGCAGTCTGGTATCTGGTCTCTCCTAGTCATTTACAGAACAAGAACAATGAGGAAGAGAATTAACCCTAAAGAAGCAGAAATTGCAAACATGTTATGTGACTCAGTCTCCAGTGCTTAACCTGCCCCCACTACCCTTGGCATAATAAATTTAGAGGGTCCTTAAATTTTATTTTCTTTTACAACTTTGAAGGGTGGCAGTCTTCCAGGCTCTGTCCTTTTAGAAGCTGAAATGTTAACAAACTTTGCATTGATCTCTTGAAGAAAACGTAAACATGCCAGAATTTACCTAACAGTGGAAATAGTGTTGAGATGATGAAACACCCTTCCAAGCTGGAGCTAGAGAAAATTTCAAAAGGGCAGAAGAGATAGTAAAGTCTGTAAAGTTGGTGCAAATATTCTAAAGCCAGAAGAAGGAAATGATGGACATTAGGAAAGACCTTGCTTTCCTAATCCATCAGGACCTATATGAGGAAAAAACAAAACAAAACAAATAAGCAAATTATATAGGTTGAGAGACTAAGAGTTCCAGCACACTCATCCGATATTTTGAGCCAAATTCTCTTTAAGCTGAATTTACACAAAACTGCCTATGAGAAAAGACACCCATTTCACAGACCCTTATTCTATTTGTATTGCAATATAAACCTGAGACATCTAGGCTAACAAATTTGAGTTTTCTTAAAGCAATTACATGTTCTTTTTATTACTATGTGCTTACTCATACTGATTAGTACCACTCTGAAACAAAATGAGTCTGAACCTGGCACAGTGGCATGTGGCTATAGCCCCACCTACTTGGAAGGCTGAGGCCCAAACAATCCCTTGCATCTGGGACTTTGAGACTGGACTGGGCAAAATAAGTGAGACCCCATCTCAGAAAAAAAAGGACTCTGAGTTAATTTTGTAGAATAGTTAAATACTTGGCAGAAGGAGAAGAGGTAGATAAGACTCTAGAATCAAAGATCATGCATTTTTTAATAAAAAAATACAATTTTTCTGATAATGCACAAGAATGTTTTGTGATTTGTAGGCTTGTCCATATATAAAAGATAGAGACACATGAAATCACATTTTACTAATTTATGAAATCATTTTAATAAAAAAAATCTAATTATATGAAAAAACTAATCCAATTATATATATTTTACAAACCCAAACTAATTCCTTTGAAAAATGCTAAACATGTCATACTTTGGTAAATGAGAACCCCTGGAGAGGGTTGGGGCAACAATAGTGAAAAGGGCAAGAAATAGTATGGACTTTAATTAGAAAATTGATTTGGCGGTTTTCTCTAAAATACAAGAGATAGAATGAATACTCATAAAAACTAAATTTTCATAGTAAACCTACTTGATTGATATAAATACAATTTTGATTAATAATTCCTCTTAAATTTTCAAGTCATATATTATTTATTAGTATAAATAATAAGGTTTTATCTGCTGCCTGAGGGTGACACATATATCTAAACCATGGGGTTAGCTCCTATTTGCTAACTTTATGATCTTGGGTTTTGTGTTGCCTTTTTCTCTCTCTCCTTATGCCACTCTGCTAGAGTGCTGAGCAGAAAATCGTATTCAGTGATCAGCCACTGACTATTCATAGAAAGAATGCCTAGTTCATCTATCTCAAGGCAAAAACACACTTCCTAACATTAAAGAACAATTTTAGTTCTTGTGATCTAATGAAGAGTGTTAGGCTGGTGAATTTACATGTATAAAAGTTTACAGGCAAAAGTAATATTTAAAAAAAAATATATTGAGCACTCTAAATTGTTAAGAGTGGCTACTGTTCATCACAGAATATTTCATAGAGCATTTCTAAAGATAGTCAGAATAATTGTCTAGTCTAGCAAATGTTTTTAAATACCAAGTTTTTTATTTAGAAAAATTAATGGCAAAAATTTAAAATTTATACTCAGAAAAACTAGGCAAGTGTAACTAAGTTGTGTTTTTTGTTCTTCTGTGAAATGACAAATTCAGAATTGTCTGAATAAGTTCTGTACAAGGTCATTCTCTGATCTTTCTTTACTTTTGATTCTTAGGGAATCTCATTCACATTGTTTATCAGTTAGGTTAGGCTAGGTTATATTGCAGTAATAAACAACTTCTAAAATTCTAGTGGCTTTTGCAATATCTAATTATTTCTCACTCATACTACATATCAGCTGTGGTTTTTCTTTCATCTTAATTTAACTCCAGGACTAGGCTGACGAAGCAACCATTAGCTGGAGAAATCTATGGAAGAGGAAAAAAGGCTCTTAGAGCTTTTTAGTGGACTGGCACGTAATATTTCTCTCACTTTTCACTGGTAAGTTACATGGCCAAGCCTGATTACAATGGGGCAAGGAAGAATAAATCTCCTCTAGAGAAGCAAAACAGGTATTAGTCAGCAATAGTATAACATTCTATTGTTATCTTAAATCGTGAGATCTACAGATTTGGAGAGAAGAGCTTTATTTCTTATAATGAGTTATAGCCTGCAGGGTGGCCATCCTGACAGTCTGGGAAGCACAGCCTCCAGCAGAGTCTGAGAACAGGTACTTTGAGGGAGGAGAGATAAAACAGGAATTTATGCTGAAACAGTTGGCCAAGTATACATATTCAAGGAGATATAGGAGGAGCTATGAATATTCACAAAGACGGGATGTATGCATACATAGTAAGGAAACATGCATGTTACATATGACCCATGTTCATTTTGGGGTAGAGAGTTTAAGTAAATTACAATTAGGTCCTATGAATCAAAAGCTGAAACAGGGACATGAAGGCACTTACATAGTCAGCCTCTGTAAACTGGCCAGA